CCGAGGTCAAGGAGGGCAACAAGTTGAGTGGGGAGAGCTTGAGAATCTACAGGGCAGGAGTTGGCATTGCCCTGTACCTCTCCTACGACAGGACGGATGTGCAGTTCGCAGTCCGTGAGCTGACCAAAGACATGAAGGAGCCTACGGATGGAAGCCTACACAAGCTGCATCGTTTGGCACGCTACCTACAAGGCACAAAGGACTATGGCGTGTGGCTGCCCAAGAATGGCGAGATCGAGATCCTGAAGGTGCATTCAGATACTGACTGGGCAAACTGCAAGAAGACCAGGAAGAGCTGTGCCTGTGCAATGTTTGAGGTTGGTGGCTGTTTACTGTTCAGCTACGCCAGGAGCCTCCAGATGCTTTGCCTGTCGTCTGGTGAAGCTGAGTTCAACGGTGGCGTGGCTGCCTGCAGTGAGGGATTGTTCATGAAGGAGGTGTTTGCCTTCATCGGCTTCCCGCTCCAGATGGAGGTCTACCTTGACAGCAGCGCAGCTCGTGGCGTGTTCCAGCGCCAGGGGGTTGGAAGGATCCGGCACTTAGAAGTGAAGTCTTTGTGGGCGCAAGACGCTTTGCATCGAAAGTTGTTCAGCTTGCATGCTGTACCAAGCCAAGACAACACAGCAGACTTTGGCACTAAGGCCTTGGCAGTGAAGAGGTTCAATGTGCTGAGGTTGAAGCTGGGAATCGGGCTGAAGGAGGAGACAGCCTACGAGCAGGAGAGCAAGAAGCATGTTGAGAGCATCAACGCCATTGCCCTCAGTGGGTTCAGCAAGCAGGCCCTGGTCATGGCCATGCTGACCCTCTTGCAGAGCGCTGAGGGTATGAAGACTGAAGAGCCCAATACAGAAGCATCGAAGTGGGGATTCGATTGGATCTTCACGGACCTTGCTGTGGCCTTCGGCATTTTGCTGATCATGCAGGGCACGGCATTGTGGTGGTGCTTCCGCATGGTGGGAAGGCACCTTGCCTTGAGTGGGGGCTTGAGCTTCAAGCCGGCGCGGCCCGAGAGCAAAGATGTGGCCATCCAGTGCGAAAGGAACACTGGACGCTTTTCGGAAGTTTACATCCTAGAGGGCAGAGAAGTGTTCCACGTGGATTCCACCTGCCCCAGGCTGCAACAACGCAGCAGACCTTACCAGCAACTGAGGAGTTGCAAGTGTTGCCCAGGCTATGGAATGCCTACCATTCCCTAGGCCTGCGAGCAGCCCCTTTCAAGTGGGGTGCAAGGCATAATGTATCTTTTGTACAGCTTGACATTTGCACTTGTTCGCTAGCCCCTTTCAGGCTGAAAATAGCGCGCTACCCGCTTGCAATATCCCATATACGTGTGTTTTCATGAAAGGGAATCTTTTGACAGAAAACTTATTTATTGATATATAGCATGTTTAAATTGACATGACCATTTCCAGAGATCCAGACGAAAGCTTTTGAAATGAACGCTTTTATATATTTTTATTGTAGAAATGATCATCCCCAGAGATCTAGAGGGAAGCTCTTGAAATAGAAGCTTGTACATAAAACATTTTTTTAATATATGTCTATATTATCTCCAGTAAAAGAGTTTTAGTCTTGTTCCTAGCACTCCCAGGGCAAAAAACACTGTAAAACACGGGGTTTTGTAGCATGTGTTTTCTTAAACTAAATAGACTAGAGCTAGAATAGAATTATAGTACGGTAGCTTATTTTAGAAGAAATCGGTTGTGAATATATTCTATTTGCCCGGTTTGAAAAAATCCACAAAAATTGCCAGATGAATAGAAGATCATGACAGTCCGCAACGGGGCGGAGACGGGGTTTGGCCGCGGAGCCAGATGAATAGAAGATCAAATTTGGGGCAGTCCGCAACGGAGCGGAGAGAGATTTGGACGTGGAGCCAGATGAATAGAAGACTGAATTTTCCCCCCACCCACCCGCACCCCCCCACCCACCCGCACCCACCCACCCACCCACCCACCGCCCACCCACCCACACCATTAAAGGGGGAGAGATGGCCGCAGTGCCGACTGTGGTGACATTTTGTCAGCAGTATATAAGCTGATGCAGATTTGTCAGCCTTAGTTGAGCTGATGGCTGTTTCAGTTCCATCCTCTGGGCTAAAAAGAGCGTTATATATATATAGCTGCTTGGCAGTGGGAGACGGGAGACGAGTTGGTTTGTTGACTATTGCGTTCTTGTGCCTGTAGGTTGTTGTTTAGTTCTCATTTCACAAAATTGGGAGAGTCTAGGTCGCCCGCCCGTTGTTTGGTTTTAGCAGCCGTTTTGTGTCAGGAAAATGGAAACATGATGTATAAAGATCTTTCAGGCTCTAGGATTTTCTTATACACATATCTATTTATATTTGTACATGTTTTCCAAGACACACTTTTCCACCCACCGGCCAAAGACTATTGTGGCAAAGACTGGCAGCCAAAGTGACGAAGGCGCGTTGGTGTGTAGCGTGAGAGGAGAGGAGAAACAAAAGGGGTGCCTGTGGGGTATATCTTCTATTTAGTGAGACTATACCTCAAGCCCCATCGCAACTGGAACCATCGCAACTGGATTGCTATCAGCTTGGAGGCCATCGGAAGTAGGTTGAATGCCATCACACTTGTTCCCGCAGGCAAGGTCTGCTTATTTGTGGCGGCAGAAAAGGGCGACAACGTTATTTTTTTGTTTAGGTGTTTGATCATGGCTTATATGTGACAATTTTTGTCATTTTCTTCTATTTGTTTAGGTGTTTGATCATGGTTTATCTGTGACAATTTTTGTCATTTTCTTCTATCTGTTTAGGTGTTTGATGGTCTCTGCATACCCCGGTTCCTTAGTGAGTTTCTTCTATTTGAGGGGTTAACTCAAAATTTGGCTAAAACTCGAATCTTCTATTTGGAAATATTGTTTGATATCTTCTATAATAAGGTACCGCAATATAGGTAGAATTAAATTGGATTTGAGTTAGAGCTAAGATAGAACTGAATTAAATCCAAATTTCAACTAAACTTGTATTGAACTATAACTATAATCCATTTAAAAATAGATGAGAGTTGAATTAGAAAGGAATTGGAATTAAAATTAGAAGTTTGCCAGAATAAGATGTAAAACGCTTGATCTACAAGATGCACAAGTCGAAGAGGCTTCGAAATTACAAAGCCGAAGCAAATGCAACAAGCATTGAATTTGAACTACAGCTTGCACAGATTCATAACAATTTCATGTAAATTGAAAGGTCATTACAGTTTCATGTCAAGCTGATTGGACATGCAATTGGCAACCACATTGATACCAATCAGAAGTTAATGCACAGACTTGTACATGGAATTTCGACAAGGACAAAGGGAGTGTTGGGCTCAGACGCTTTCATTGTAAGAGCAAAGAACATATGCCTTTAGGTGAGACTTAGGCTCACATGCTTGAAGGTTGAACGAAATAGAAATAACACAGATTGACCTAAATAGGAAAACAAAAAATAATTACTTTACTTCGAGTGATCCCCACCATGACATTCAATATACAAAGGATCAAATCGAATTCAGCAAAGCACCAACAAATTATCTTGCTTCAATTAATCCCCGTGTTTCACCTGGCATTCTATCTGGCATATCTTCTTGCATTCTATCTGGCAAACTATCTAGCATACTATCTGCCATTCAATCTGCCATTCCATCTGGCAATCTATCTGACATACTATCTGGCATACTGTGTGGCATACTATCTGGCATTTTATCTGGCATTCTATCTGGCATATTTTCTGGCATTCTATCTGGCAATGTATCTAGCAATCTATCTGACACACTATTTGGCATACTATCTGGCATATCTTCTTGCAGCATTCTATCTGGCAATCTACCTGGCATTCTATCTGGCATTTTATCTGGCAAACTATCTGGTTGAGGTCCGGCGGTGCACACTGCGATCGGATCCTTGCGGTTGAGGTCCAGCGGTGCACACTGCGCTCGGATCCTTGCGGTTGAGGTCCAGGGGTGCAC